ACATCCTCCCTCTCCCCCAGCCTCTCCTCCTACCTTCCCACCACCTCCTCCTCCTCCTCCTCCTCCTCCTCCATTTGCATGACGTCCGTTGCGTTCTGAGTCTTCCCCTCCCTCCCTCATGCTTCCAGCTCGCTCACGACGATTCAACGCTGGCTGCACCGCCGAACACTCACCAATCTATCAAGCAATCAAATCAATCAAGCAATCAAATCAATCAATCAATCAAATCAATCAATCAATCAATCAATCAATCAATCAGCCTGTCCCCAGTCAGTTCTGTCGCCTGCTTTTGGACAACCTCGGAGATGACGATGAATCTTCACCTCTGAATTGTTTCGTCATTTTCGTGAATCGTGAAGCCGAAGATTTCGCACTTCTGCCCCTTCAATGCCGTGATCGTCTTTTCAGAATGTCCCTGGCTCAGCCGGATGTCCTGCACATTTTCGTTGATGTCCTCTGAGTCATCTCTTTCTTGATCCTCACCCTCGTTTGCATCCAACGCTGGAAAAAAGGAAGGGGGGGGGGGAATAAAAAAAGACTGATCGGTTCCCAGTAGCAGGGGCTGCTCTTATCACCCCGTCTTGTAGCGACCCTTCCCGTACTTTTGAAACAAAAAAAAAAAAAAGGGAAACAGACTGATTGACACGTAAGACTGACCAAACCCTCGTTCGCATGCAAGGCTTTAAAAAAAAAAAAAAGGGAAACAGACTGATTGACACGTAAGACTGACCAAACCCTCGTTCGCATGCAAGGCTTAAAAAAAAAAAAAAAAAAAAAAAATCCCTGATCGGGGGTCCAACTACCAGGGGCTGCTCTCTCTCTCTCTCTCTCTCTCTCTTCACCCCGTGTACTACGCAGTCTTGCAGCGCATCTGTTTTGGGTACAGAGGGTCATAGGTTCGAGTCCTGTCACCTTGAGTCAAAACCAGAGTAAATGGACATGAAAAAATGAAAATCAATCGACCATGATTATCACTTTTTCTTTCCTTTTTCTTTTTTTTTTCTTTTTTTTTTTTACCACTACTATTCCGTTAATTTCAGGTTGGGGAAACTACTTGTAAGTTTTCGGAATTCTCTGCAATCTTTTTTTTTCTTTTTCTTTCACCGTCTGGATTTCCGGATATTTCAACAACTTCGGCATAATACAGTCATACCACTTTTACAAGGAGTTGCTTTTTTAGTACTACCGTTTTCCCCCGAACAAAACGCACCCTGAAAATGAACGTATACAAGGTATGTTTCCAGCCCGATACAGTGAAAATGAGGGTGCGTTGTGTTCGGGGGAAGACGGTAGGCAACGAAGGTGCCTTGACTGCTGCCCCTCTTATGATTCACAAATGGATTGCTTTAATTTTCTCTTATTTTCTTTTTTTTATGTTTGACCTCCAATTCTTGTCTTCGAATTTCCGATGGCGCTTTATTAATTATCTTTCTTATTCCTGAAGTTTCATTTTAACAAAAAAAAAAACAAAAAAAAAAGAAGGACTAATCGACCCCCTCGCTCGCACGCGATGCTGATCTCACCCTCGCTGCACTCGAGACCCGTGAGATCGTACTCATGCTAGGACTTGTGGGCATGTATCTGACTGCAATCACGACCCGATATGGATGTATCTGACGCCAATTCCGTCCACAGCTGGGTCAAAACGGTCTCACTAGAGTGTGAGTCAACCCTGAGAGAGGCTAAAGTTGACATTGGAAAACCAGTTTCCGATCCCGACAGTCAACATTTTTTTTTTTTTTTTTAAGTCAACAGCATTAAAAMAAAGGGAAAAAAAAAAAAAAAAAAAAAGTTTCGATTCGCATCGCGATCGGCACCAACGGACAAGGCAAAACAGGTAAACAGGTTTTTTTTTTAATTTAAAAAAAAAGTTAAACATCCCAATAGCTTGACACTGACCAATTGGCATAGCGCGGGCTAAGGTTATACTCACACTCACACTTTCTGGGATGTATCTGGCCGCAATTACGAGTGTATACGACCACAATTACCGCCAGAGTTGGGTTCGGAAAATCCCCCGGTGCGCGTACGTATGCCCTCACTTGCTCTCTTCCATCACCATTATGATGATACGCTCCATTCAAAAAAGATTTGAGCCGCTTGAGAGAAGATTATAGAGAGAGGGGAAAAAAAAGAGAACAATATTTTTAGTAGGGGGACAAAAAAAAAAAACTGGACATTCAACCTGAATGAACCGTCTTCGTTCAGAAGAGCGCAGGAAACCCCTCTATAATTTGCAAAAGAAAAAGGTCAAACAATAAAAAAAAGGGAAAAAGAAAAAAAAAAACTCCACTGCGCGGACTCCCCTCACTCAATACGATCGTGATGGCTGCTGCCCAAAAAAAACACTACTGTTAATTAACCCCCCCCCACACAAAAAAAAAAAAAACTGATGCCAAAGACACTGGCAAATCTTTCATCATCTTTCAAATTAGAATTTGAGAGAAGAATATAGCGCAGTTAAACAAAACAAAGGGAAAAAAAAAAAGACACTGGCGGCTTCTTCGTGCTTACCAACGCAACGCGTTGGGCGGATCCAAGTGGGCGACCATTGCACGTGATGGAGAATGAAGTTATTTTGACGTGTATCTGGCCGCAATGACGGTCAGGTACGATACTTACAGTCCCAGTCTGAGTAAGACCGGCCTCAGTTCAGTTCAGCGACAAAAGCTCCAGGACCAGCGCTATTTCGAAAGAACCTGGTCATGTTCAAGGTCAGATACATCCGGGAAAGTATACGAGTCAAAGTCAACAACGAAGGCAAACTGCCAGTAGCTCTCGAAACTGACGGCCACAATTGGAGGGTACTAATCAAAAGAAGACGGGATTGGGATTAAATTTTTGGGGGGGAAAAAAAAAAAAACAGAAAACAAAACAAAAAAAGTGATATTAGGCGGAGCTCCAGCTGCAGGCTGGTATTGCTCATCAGCCGAGGACGATAAACGCCATCAATGCATGACACCTTCGTTCTGCCCCCATCACTCGTGACCAATTTCCTGCATGCCCTCCTCGCACAGACAGACCCCTCGTCTTAGTACGGGAAACGTGTTCCTTGCAAGCAATTCTCACGACAAGCAATCAAAATTGACAATGTGTCAGGACTACCTGTATAGGCTCAGGAACAGGGCCAAGGTCCCACTAGCAAAGAGAAATTCAATAGGATCAAGTTCCTGAATCTGGATTTGTTTGTTTTATGCAGAGATGCAGAAAAGCCGTTCAATCTCGATTTCCTGCATCTCTCCACAAACACGTCCAGATTCAGGCATTCGATCCGATCCTCTTTGCTAGTGGGACTACGCCCCAGGGGTCGGTAGGTAGTGAAAATTTTAAGGTGAAATTGAGAGAAGGATAGTACAGCTTAGTTTTAACAAAGAAAAGTCAATTGCAATGGTTGTCGGTGAAGTGCCATGTGAGAGGGAGATGACAGTTGTTCGTCGTTCTTATCTGACCTTCGAGCGATGGTTGGCGATGGTGGACAAAGTGCAAAAGCGGAGAAGATCTTTCTCCACCAGAGCGTGAAGGAGGAGGGCTCGACGGCTCGCAGACACTTCCACTCGTCGGGCCGAAGGCAGAAGCAAGATAGAGCCGACCTCAATCTTGGAATTTCTAAAGCAAGGAATTAAAAAAAAAAAAAAAAGAAAGAAAGAAAGAAGAAGCAAGGCGGAGCAGGTGCGGCCGCGGATGGTAAGCTTTCTGCCGGCCCCCACCCGCCCGTCGGTCGGCGCAGGGAAAAGCAACGCCTAGTACAGCAACGCGGCCGCTACCGGTAGGAGGGCGGGGCTTACGGTGGGCAATTTCTTTTGCGGGTTCGTCATTTTTTTTTTTTTTTTTAATCTTTTTTTTTGGGGGGGGGGTTTCGTCATGTTCGTTTGGTATTTTGCTTGCGCAGGACATCCACAGGTCAATCAGGAGTAATCAAAACAGCACACGCATAGGAGACAACAGATACAACAACAGACCGTATAGACGACTCAAGACTCGACCAGGAATAGCTTTGACGAAAAACCCGAAGGTGACAACTGCTTCAAAAAATAAACACATGAAGCACAGCAGCAGCTATGGTGAACAAAGTTCCATATCGGCGACGACCCTACCGGTTTCACCTGGCCGCCGCGCCACGATCATCAGGAGTCTTAGAGTTCAGATTGTTGACAAAGCTATTTAAACTCCCTAATCTACGTCGCAGCGTCGCCGTTCCCGATAGTAACCTCGAACAATGAACCTATCCTTAAAAACAGGAAAGCGAAAAAACAACAAAAAACAAACAAAAAACAAAAAAACACCTGCACCGGGTCAAACGGTAGTACTGACAGAGCACAATTCCCATCGAAACTCCTATGCGGGAAGGGGGCCGCGAGTCCTCCGGTAGCGCTATTCCTAGCGCTGGCAGCGCTATTCTTAGCGCTGGCAGCGAAAAATTTCTGGCGCCTCCTACCGGTAGCATTGCTACCGGGAGGGGCACCAGAGGAAGGCTCTACCTGCGGACTCCAGGCCCGGGGGACACGGCGGTTGGCGCCAACGCGCTCTAAGTTGGTGTCCTCCGGTAGAACCGAGGCAGCCATCTCCACGAGTCACCACCACGATGACCGTGCGGTAAGGGAAGTCTTCGTGCTCGGTATTATCTGAGCCTTCTCAGGGAGAAGACTCTCGGGCTGTCCCCACATTAGTTTAGCATACGACTATCGTGGAAGACGTGGAAGACGTGAAGATTGTGAGCAAAGTAACGAGACACTAAGTACAAGCAGTAGGGGCGCGCCTACGACCGGCGCCCGTCTTTGATGTGCTCAGGAGAGCAGATCTAGTTTTCGACGGGTAAGGCAGAAGGGGGTATCCAAGACAAATGGCGTCACAGGAAAGACCGAGAGGACAGCCTGAAGGAAGAGGATGTTCCCCTCCTGGTCATGCAGACGTACCGCTATCAGATGAAGACAGATTGAGGCTGCTGATATCTAAGTGCTACGACGACGGAGTTCTCCCAGAGAAGTTTCGACATGGAGAATGGGTTGTCGAAGGAGTACGTATCTTCGTTGTCAACCCACGCTTGGATGAGCTTACGACCAATTGGCTAAAGGAAAAAGGAACGCACGGTCATCTTTCAAGGAGCGGCCAGAGATCTGCCGATGAGGGTCCAAGAAGATCTGATCCTCGCATACGAGAACGGTTGGTACCGTCAACGGACATTCGATCGGAACACTGGTCGGGGCAGGGTGCATGCAGAAGGGCCGAATGTAGTTTCCTACGTGGCAAAGTCTCCGGAGGTGGCACAATGGTTGGTTGCTAAGGCGGAGGATACCATCGTCATCCGTGGGGTGGAGTACTCGATGCAATTTAAGCCTTGGATGACCAAGACGGAGCTAGAAGAGAGAAGGCGCCTCGAAGATGAGTCTAAGTTTTGGGTTATGGCGATTCGAGTCCCGCTGCGTGTGATGTTCCACGTGGAAAATATGGTGGAAACATCTATGGGACGGGTCATTAAAAGCCTACAGCCAGAACAGGACCGGACGAGACCGAAGCTTATGAATCTTAAATTCGAGCTCGTTAGGGAGGCAGAAGAGAAATTCGAGCCGGAACTCTCGATGCGACTAGGCAGAGAAGTTTTTCGCATCAAGTTCGTGTGTCGACATACTCCATGGTGTGACAAGTGCAAACGGTGGTTCCATACCTCGACTGAAGGGTGTCCACGAGAAGGTGAAGAGGATGAAGCGTCAAACCGAGCGGATGGAAGACAACGCCAACAACCGACCAATCGGCACATTAGAGACGCAGCAAGGGAAGATTATACTCCAATACCGAGAGATACCGGCAGGAGGCAAGTAGACAGAACATTCCCTGCGGACGGCCGTGGATCAGTTTGACAACCCATGGGGGAAGGCAGCGGTCTTCACCGCTCGGCTTCCCAGCGACAACAAGGAGGTGCAACCTCTACTCAACGGCAATCTCAAGGTCTCGGTCCGACACTCCCGGCTCCTCCCGTCCACAGGGGGGGAGTGGGGTTTCACCGTTATGTGCCTTTATCAGGTGCTACGCCAGGGTTTCCCCAGCCGCGCTATGGAGTGCCGATGACGACACAGGATAAATACTTTCGTAACCAGTATGGGACAGGTGAAGGCCTCGACTACAGGATTCTGAGACAGGAGGGTACTCCTGGTGGTGGAGAAAGAGCGGCGTCGAGCAGGGGAGGATCAGGTGGATCGAGGCAGTTGAGGCGAGACTCACAACAAGATGTCAGGAGAGGCCCAGTGGGGGCAGATCGGCACAGTCAGAGGTTGTCGAATGGTGAAGAGGAATCGGAGGGCTCCGGCGGAGAAGAGGGTTCCATCCCGATCTCCCCCCCTCCCAGGGGCGATGGCATGGAGGAATCGCCAGGGAGAATTCCAGAAGGAGTCAGGGCATCTAGCAGAGAAGATGGGATATTCGAGGAAGCATTTTTCCCTCCCCTCGTATGCACGATGCAAGGGTCGGAAGTTTTCGTCATCGGTCTCAGGGATCGTAATGATCAATTAGTCCTGCCAGCTGTTGGCACTAACGAGCTTCCGATGCCAGATATGATTCAGGAAAGAGTTCGCTATTTGTTTAAGGATAGGTTTGATTTTCGCATTTTCCCAGAATTTTTTATGCCCAGGTTACGTACGGAAGTAGATGTTGGCAAAGCGGTTCGGTTTTCAATAACGTTTATTTATGCTAGAATGTCAGTTGAGCATGGGCGAGCATTGACCAGGCTGGACTGGGTTCGTTTCCACTGAAAGCTCTGACCCTACCTTTGATAGATTTATTGTCAGAAATTATTATTGAGCAAGGTGTCTCAGCATCTTGCCTGGCTAATTTGAACCCGAACATGCCACGGGCATTCAATCTGATTTCAAGTGCCTTTACGCGCTGTCTCACGGAGGGATGGCCAAGCCAGGAAGCAGAGCACATCGAGGATGGAACCCGGGGAAGGAATCCACCACCAGCAAGTATCCAATCGGCAGACTTGAACGAAAGTCTGAATGGGTAGATTGAGAGTAGCAACGTGGAATGTCCGGGGAATGGGAGATCTGTCGGGGAGGGAGAAGGATAAAAGAGTTAAATCGTGGATCCATTACAAACGGATCGATGTGATGATGCTACAGGAAACAAAACTTTCAGAGGGAAAACTTACTCAGTTCAGGGACTGGTGGGATGGCCCACAACTCTGGTCCCCTGCAAGAGGGACAAGGGGAGGGGTTGCCATCCTTATTCATACCCGAATTGAGGCATCTCTGATCGACTTTGATAGCGATGCCTGGGGAAGATGGTGTTGGGTAAAACTGGCACTACGGGACACAAAATGGGTGTTTGCTACTGTGTACGTGCCAAACGGGACTAAGGAGAGAGTTTTTTTTTTAAATGCTCCCGTATGTGTTACCCAGTCACAGCAATCTGATGATTGCAGGTTACTGGAATACGGTTTGCCGCCCAGGTTTGGATTCAAAAACGGATAACGGGTTGACTCAAGACAGATCGAGATTGCTCAAATGGATTGAAGCGTGAGAACTGCGGGACATCTACAGAGACCTCTTCCCCTACGGATAAGACTTCACGTGGGTAGGCCGAACTGCACAGCTAGCAAGGATCCAACGACGACTCGACTTCTTTTTAGTCTCTGCTTGCCAGGCCAGTGATGTGCTCAATGTGGACACAATAAATGACCCCATGTCGGATCACAAGCCAGTGATCTTGGAATGTGCTCTCACCTCTTTGGAGGAACGAGGGGAGGGGTACTTCAGACTGAATACGATGCTGCTAACTGATGATGGCTTGAGAAACTAGGTTGAGGCTTTCTGGCATAGCTGGAAGGATGCCAAGTCGGAGTTTGAACAGCAGGCTGAGTAGGTGGACGCAGGGCTACGTATCATTTCCATGAGACTTGACACATTTTCCCGGATTGCAGCACATGGGAGGAACAAAGAGGAAAAAACTCTGAGGGATAGAGTGGAGGAAGCAGAGAGTCGCATTGGGCAGCACCCAGTGTCGGACCTGTTTTGGTCGGAGGAGAGAGCTGCAAGGCTTACAGAATGGAATCAGTACCAGGTTCATAAGTAGGAAAGGTGGCACCAGATCCTGAAGGAGAAGGGGGTGGTCTCCTCTGACCGGATGACAAAACAGACCTTTCAGAGACTGCTTCCGAAAGCAGTTCACATGAAAGAGTTGAGGCACCCACATCATCTAGGTCGTCCGATGGCAACCACCAACGTGGAAATGAGCCGGTACGCTGCAGACTACTACGAGGACAATATGACAACACGCAGACCATTTGATGACCTCGACGACGACATGTCACAGTTCTCTGCGCTTTGGGACAACTTCACAGTGCGAGTTGCTGAGGAAGGCAGGCTACTGATGGACAGACCGGTGACGGAAAATGAGGTACTTGAAACGATCAAGAGAATGGCAAAAGGGAAGGCGCCGGGAGACGATGGTCTCCCGGTGGAGTTTGATGTTGTCTGTTGGGAAACCCTGGCAGGGGACTTAACAGAATTGTTCAACGACATTCTGACCGGAGCCAAGTTGGGCCAAACGATGACACGGGGTATTATCTCGCTGTTATTTAAAAAAGGAGACAGCAGCGAAGTCAGGAACTGGCGACCCATTTCACTACTGAATGTGGTTTACAAGTTGCTGGCAAGAACGTTGGCAACCAGACTCGGCAATCTGCTTCCACACCTAGTCCAAAAAGACCAAGGTGCCTTCATGCGGGGAAGATCCATATTCGAGAACGTGATGACTGCTATTGAAGCATTGGAACTCATCGACGGGGAAGACACAGACACAGCGGTGCTCTTTCTGGATCTTCAGAAAGCCTACGACAGAGTCAACTGGACGTTCGTGATCATGACACTAAAAGTTGCAGGCTTCGGGGAATCATTCTGCAGTTAGGTCAAAGCACTGTATGGGTTCTCTTCGGCTGCGGTGTGCGTCAATGGCGTCATCTCGAATGAATTCAAGTTGTCAAGGTCGCTTCGGCAAGGTTGCCCTCTGGCGCCACTCCTCTTTGTGTTACACATGGAACCGCTGCTGTGCAATATCAGGCTTCATCCGGAGCAGATAAGTCTTTGCATGGGTAATGGCAAGGAAAGTAAGGTTAAAGCCCTTGCAGACGATGTCTTCGTCATTTCGGCGAACACTAAGCCCTCATTGGACGCCCTCAAGCAATGTCTAACGGACTTTGCAGAACTGTCGGAAGCAAAAGTTAATTGGAACAAGTTGACCTTTTTTCTGCCCAAACAGTTCTCCTTGGCGGTCCAATGGGGTATGGAGCGAGTCCCTGTGGATACGGCGGAACGATTTTTGGGAGTACTAGTGGCGCTGGGAGACTGCTCCTCATCACAGGAGGTGATCTTGGCTGAGAAGGTCAAGAAGCGGGTGCAAGGTTGGGGAAAAGCATTTCATCTGTCCCTGATTGGTCGAGCGCTGGTGATAATGGCTTCGGCCTTCTCCTTGCTATGGTACGTAGCGACTGTCCGCAGGTTATCCCCAGCGTTACTCAAGTTTGTCAAAGCGGCCGCTAGAAGATTCATATGGAAGCCTGGCAGCAAGGAGGACGAACGGTTCATATGCAAGGTGGCCTGGGACACGATTTGCAATCCAAGGGAGGAAGGTGGCTTGGCAATAAAGGACCCCGCGGCACGCAATACGTTCCTGCTGGCAAGATGGATTTGCAAGGTAGCAGAAGCCGAGATGGGAACCGATTGGGTGCTGTTGGCGGAAAGCTTGTTGAATAAGGACTGGAACCTGGCTCGCCCAACGGACATATAGGTGGCCATCATGAGTCACACCTTTGTGCGGAAAAGAACGACCTCCAAGTTTTGGAGGGATGTGCTTGCAGCGTGGAAGAAGGCTCAGCCTATGCTAAGACTGCCGCCAAAGTCCAAAACGGAGGTCAAGCGACACATCTTTTTTAGAATGAATGGATTTTGAGTGATGCGGGTCACCCCTTCTCTCGAGAGAGGAGGCCTGGGGAATTCGGACTGACCTGGCTTCGGAAAGGGATTGCAACAATAGGCGACCTATGGGATGACTCAGTGAATCAGTGAAAATCAAATGGGGAGTTGAGGAATCAGCTGGGTCAACTGCCTAGCCAAGAGGAAAGGGCGGAGATGCTGAGAGCAGCAATTCCAGAAGATTAGAAACTCCTCCTGGGCCCAGAGGGCGTCGACCCCCCTGGGACTTGGTTCCAATGGAATAACGGAGAAGAGGGTCGATACTGCAGGCTTGAGAGCTGGTTTGATAACAACTCAGGTCGCTGTTGGCTCGAGACATATAAACAACGCGACAAGAACCAGCCTGCACTGGAAAGGGAAGGGATGCTTTTCCAGTATGGGCTGGCTAACTTCACAGAGATGAGAGGTAGACTGATTCCACCTACAGAGGAGGGATTTCCAATGACCCCTATGCTCGTAGCTAACGGAACCCCCTTGAAAGACCTGAGACTTTACCCGGCTGGTTGGGGTTGGCAACTGGGAGGCGAACGAATAGTAGGTTTGGAGAAGCTCAATTCAGAAATTATTTCCCAAATGAGCTCCAATGACCAGTCCATGCAGAGGAAACTGGGTCAGCGATGGAGCAGAACAGTCCCAGAGTTGAACCCGCCATCAGAGCAGGAACTTGGAAGATTATGGACTCAGTTGAAGAACATTCCCTCACAGAAGTTGGCCTTCTTACTCTGGCTACAGTCTCATCTTGCTATTCCGACCTCAGTTTGGTTATCAGAGAGAGGAATGGAGGTGAACAAGACATGTGACAGATGTAAAGCGGATGAGGAAACCTGGGCCCACCTCTGGTGGGACTGCCCAAGATCACGGAAGTGGTGGAGGTGGTGGGAGATGCACTGGCAACGGTTCGTCGGCCAGTCGGGGTTTTTAGGCCGGAGATGGGTCCTATCAGGCGCAGTCCAGGAAGGAAGTAACTGCTCAGAAGGTTTGGGATATATTGCCCAGGTGGGAAGAACCATCATGTTGTGGCTCATATGGATGGACAAGAACAACCTTCGGTTCCAAGGGGTAAGCCTTAATGAGGTCCAGGCGGAGGCCACATTCAAAGGAATGTTGGTGATGGCAATCAGGTCATACTGGGTGCGCAGGGTGGTACAGAGAGATCGACAGTCGGGTCTTGGATGGTTCAGGAGAACTTGGTGCGTGGGGAACAGGTTATCGCATATCTCTCTGGAAGGGAAGCTAGTCTTATGCCAATGGCTAGCTAGGGGGTAGAATTGAGGGTCATTAAGTAGATAGATAGTAGTATTAAAGGGAGGGGTGGTATAGAGTAGTGCCTTTCGAACCAGGGTATCTCGGTTCGTGTTTCGGACCGCAGGAGGTCAAAAGGGGAAGGAGGGTGGTAGAGTGCCAAGTTAACGAGGAACGGATGTTCCACCGGTCGGCTTAGACTGGTCTCGGGCCGTTGAAAGGCCTGTGTAGGTAGGTGAGTAGGGCAAAGGGTAGAGTAAATGTTACACTCCATATGAGTAGAGTTCAAAAGAAACGTGCGAGAACGGATTAAATAGGGTTCCATCTGCTGAGTTTAAAGGGATCTGCTTTTGTTACAGATTCATTTTGAAGATATCAGTTAAGCTAAACCGGCTGAAGCTGTCGGGATAACTCCAGGTTGAATTGTGAGGTCCCCAGCCTCTTCGAAATTCATTTGGAATATAATGTTGCGATTTAAAAAAAAATAAAAATAAAAACTCCTATGCTCGACCAACCGGCAAAAACACGAAAAGGTACCAGAGTCGGGTCTGCGTTTCCCGAACCCTCTCAAAACCCACGTTCACCCGCCACTTGACCAATCCACCACTCAACACTTCGCCTCGTGTATTCCGGACAAAAAACAAACGTCAGAAAAAAAAAAAAAAAAAAAAAAAAGCCCACCATAAAGACCGCTTGGAATAAAAACCATTTTGCCTTTGTTCCCGACCACGTACATTCACCAACAGACTGTCTGACTTCCCGGCCTGAGACTGTCCACTCGGTACAATCGTGAAAAAACGCGAAAGACAAAAAAACAGCACTCATCACTACTACCCCTCTACCCGAACCGTCCCTCCCTCACTATCCGCTC